GTGTGTGTGTGTGTGTGTGTGTGTGTCAGCAGTCAGGTGATCATAGGGGAACTAAACAGATTAGTGATTGTCATGCTGGACTTTCAGTGATATGGGTAGTTAACAAGAGTTTTAAAAAGAGATCTTTAATGACACTGGGTCTCTTGCTCATTGCCCTTGTAAAATAGCTGCGTAGTTGTTTTGAAGTCATAAATTTGAATTATTTTGTTATTGTCAGTGCAGCAGGACCAATCTATTCTAGAGGTCACTTATGGGGTTATAGGCTGTGTTCAAAACATAGAGGCAGAATAACACACAAACAAACCAGCAACCTCTCAAAAAACCACCAAACCCAAACGTCATGAAAAAATAAACTACAAAACACCCTTACCTGCATTGTTTTGGACGTTGTGGATCTGCATTGGCGGCTGAGCTCCGTTGTTGCCAAAACCTCCGTTCTGCTCCAGCAGCTGCAGACATTCATAGCCGTCATACACTGGACGCCAACAGTAGTACGTACTCAACATCGTGACAAGTGGGCAAGACGGCACTTGTTAGGGCAAAAAAACTTGAAGCCAGGGCATAAGATTTTTTTCCGAGATATTCAAGAGCAGCAACAGAAAACAGATCTCTTTAAAATATCATATAACAGTGTAGAAATCACAGCAAAGAATAAAAACTCTGCTTGAAAAATTAAGGTCCACAAATAGAGGAACAAAAAATCTGTCAAGCGACAGGTCTTGTTTCTGTCCCAGAACGTAAAATCATCGGCTCAAAAGATTTACAAAAAGTAGAAGCATCATAAAAATAAATTCTGATGCTCTGGATAAAATACTTTTCCAACGAGCAACACAGCTTCTGTTCCTCTCCAGGGTGTCTGCAGTATTTCCCTTTTAGAATTTCACTTCCATCTTAGTTCCCTTCCTTCACTGGTTTCTTCCTCAATGCTCCATCTCACAGTCTGTCTCTCCATATGTCTGAGCCGAGAAGCAGCAGAGAGAAGAGGAGGAGGAGGAGAAGAAGAAGTAGGATTCTAATCTTCTTATGTCCAGCAGGGAAACCCCTTCTTAATCCTAATCAGATCAGAGATCTGCCTCCGCACAGCACATATTTGGGAGCCTTATCAGGATTCCAATTAGTCAGATATTAGGATATAAAATAATTCTGTGCATCAATTTACTAAGAGCTCAAATATTTATACTTTTAAGTGAAATAGAAATTTAGCTGAGTATAGCTACACTGACTGATCTGTATATCATTATATTGCAGACCAGAAAGTTGCCGAAGGAAATAGGAGTCAGTGTAAACGTGGAGATTTTTGACATTGGAATCAGCTTTATATTAACAACTGCAGTTGAGGATTTGGTGATAAGTACCAGGATTTGTGGATTTGCTGTAAGAATCATTAGAAGCCGTGGCCGTTAAGTCAGTGATGGATTCTCTGCTTCAAAACCAAGGCTAAAATCTGAAATCTGATTGTGCTTAATTAGCTTCTGTGGGTGGTAAATGAAGAAAAGCTTTCTGTCTTTACAGCCACAGTTCTGCTGCACTAATGTTGGTACTGGGTTTGTGTTTATTTTGAATTTAAGTTCACACATTTTCCACCTCTGTGTCTACTCTGTTCCTCTGGACCCATTAAGACCATGTCAGTCGGGAAGAGAGAAGACAGACTCCTTTGTGCCTGCAACCGTGTGTGTGTGTGTGTGTTTGAAGCTTAGCCAGTGTAACCACATCAGCAATCTGAGCGTGTACGAGTGTGCGTGTGCGCTTACACACACTGGGCGGAAGAAGCTGTGCAGTCACCCTGTCAATACCCTCTTAAACAGGCTGGCAGACAATGGGAATGTGACTCTGTGGCTCAGCAAATCAACCTGCTTACTCATTGTGTAGCTGAAGTACAATTTGTGAAAGTATATTGAAGTATATCTTCCACTCAAAATTAATGAATTACTTCCCTCCTAATTCCATTGTAAGAGGTGCTTCTCTGATCTAGATGCTTTTCAAATGTCTCTTGGTTTGAAGGGCAGATAAATTTAACACCCAGGACCAAAGTCTAGCTCCATTTATGTGTTTCTATAACATCTGTTATTTCCCGGAAGCCTGTGACTTCATTTCCAAGAGAATACGAAGCAATTAATGTTCAGATTTTGATTAAAACAAAACAGCACGACCCATTTGTCACTGACTAGAAGCAAATGACGGAAAAACTAAGTGGCATTGAAGAAATAATTTTACAGTAATGTAAGTGAAGGAATTTAAATCAAAAGCTGTCGTAGTTTTTACAACAGCACAGCAGGCAGCAATGCTCACACCTACCTCTGTAATGGGAGACTTTGGGTTGACGTTGCGTGCTGCTGCGATCTCCTGGAGCTGGTTGACCAACTCTGTAATGGACAGGCGCTCCTCTGGGTTCACCTTCAACATGGAACCTGGAGAAGAAGAGATGGTTGTGCATTGAAAGAAGGAAGAAATGTTAAAATCAAGAAAGATAATACTTGTTAATTGACCTGGTTTAGAAATTTAACAAAATGAATTTGCCCTGGCATTTCTCTCATAACATTTCTACAGTTTCTAACGCCAACTTTAGATGTGCCATCCTAAACATGCGTAACACGGGTAAAGGTGACAAGTAAATTGATGCAGAAGCAGCTGCAGGTCAAGGGATAGATGGATAAATGGCAAGAATAAAGTAGTACATGCAGGCTGGCAGAGAGACGGGCAGTACGTACGTATGAGGTTGTGATACACAGTGTACTTCACGTCATTCTGAGGGATGGCGTATTTCCCATTCACGATTTGCAGCTTGGCCCCCTCCTCGAACGGGTGCTGCTTAAAACACAACAGGTAGAGGATGCATCCGAGGGCCTATGGTGGAAGAGCAGAAAGAACACAGAAAATATATAAATTCCCCAAATCCATTTCTTCATGAGTACAAGCAAAATGAAGTAAATGATCAAACATAATCACAGCAAATAACACAAAACAGGATAAACTAACTCTCTGATAAAGATGCACAATTAGTCTCTAAAAACCTTTAAAAGTTATTGTGTTAGTCCTGAATCAGAAACAACTGATTAGGGAAAAAAAGAGTTCTGACCCAGATGTCCTGTTTCTCGTTGATGGGGAAGTTGGAGTAGAGGTCGATCATCTCTGGTGTGCGGTACGCTGGAGTTGTGTTCCTTGTGATCTAAATGCAAATGGAAAAGCAAAATAAAGACCACGCAGGGGTACTGCAATAAACCTTGGCTACAAGTGAAATGTTCGCCTACGATATCTTTTTGAAGTGGAATTAAAAAGATTAAATTACGGAAAAAGCTTTAGAACCTTCTGAGTATTTGGAAAACACAAACTGTTACTTGTTTCCACATAAAGAGCGAAGCAAACTTTCTAAAATGTTCACTAAACAGCTTCTACCATAAAAATCAATTTCCTGCAACATCTTGTTTGTAGCCTGCAAATAGGTCCCTGATGGACATCCCTGTTATCAAATTCACATCTCCTGGGTTCTGCATACTGAGGTCATCTGTGGCAAAGCTTTGATGTGTGAGTGTCTGTGTGTGTGTGGCTTTGGTATTAATATGATTAACCTGAGTGATCAGTCCTTCCTGAACCTCCAGCTGTTCATTCGATTAAAGGTTTCTGGTTCCTGTTCACTTACTGATCCAGTGACTTCTCAACTGACTGACCGCTGTTGTTGTTTTTTCTTAAAGCTGAAGAACAGACTTCATTAGTAAAATTTTAGAATATAAAATTAAAAGAAAACTGACTGTTCTTTTAAAACGTTTAGTGCTTCATCCAAAACATTAGTGTGGTGTGAAATATTTATGAATTTACTCTGCTTTTGTCTCAGAGATGGAAAAAAAACCCAAACTATTATACTAATTTGAATGGAAATATGGAAATAACAGAAGCGTGTGCGCACCTCATCCTCCACCATGGACCTCTTCTGTGCCGACCAGCTGTAGTCGGGGTAGTGTGACACTGTGGTGGCGCTGCCAAAGTCACAAAGCTTGATGGTGCCCTGGTTACTAATCAAGAGGTTCTCAATCTGCAACACATCAAACACATGTGTAATCAACAACCGGGCTTTTACTAGCACTGAATCAAATATTTTTTTTGAGTACCGCATATTATGGATGCTTCACAATTCACCAAGGACAGACCAACCTTGAGGTCTCTGTGTATGATTGGAGGTTTCTGTTTGTGCATGTGCTGCACGCCGCGGCACGTCTGGTATAAGACTTTCAGCACAGTGTCACATGACAGGGGCGCCCTCTCCTCTACTCGCTTTATAAAGTCCACCAGCTGACCTGAGGCAGAACAGATACCAACACACGAATCAATGAAAGGCCGTGAGGCAAAGTGAAAGTAACCCTTGCTCGTGTTGATTGTAATGGGTCTGATGAATTTAAAGAAAACATTTCATTATAAACAAAAGGGGAAGCATTGGATCATGAAATAAAATAGGTAAATGGGATTAAAATGTGCTTTTCCACATTACATAAATGTTTGAATAGAATTATTACACAATTTACTGGAGGAAGCAAAGAGTTGCTGTTTGCTTGTAAAGCTAGAAAACTGTTGAATAAAAATGAAAAGAAAGGAAGCAGGAAGTTAAAGGCCACAGACAGGAAGCTGTTTCATTACAAATTAATTTCAGTCAGTTACTAGGAAGCCGAAGTGACTGGTCAGATTTACGGCTCTTTAGTCTATTGAATGAGTAAGCACTGACTCAGAAGTGATGTAATAAGACAGAAAGAGGTAGTAAAGAAACAGATATTGAGAAACTAGAAGTGTCTGTGTGTGTGTGTGTTTACCTTTACACAGCTCAGTGAGGATGAGGAACTCGGCCTGTCCGGTGTCTGACTCCTCTTTGCTGATGGAGGCAGCAGAACAGAACTGAACCATGTTGGGATGACCTGACAGCTTTTTCTATGGGGCAAACAGGTCAAGGAACATACAGGATAAACACACCTACTGCTGCATCTGTTAGTACTAACATATATATATATAGGTCCTTCAATTCAGAAACTCTAACAGAAATCACAAGCAAAGAGACAGTACAAATATCTGATCTATTCACAATGCACACATAGCCTCTGAATAAACAGTTCTAGTCGAAAACTTAGTCCAGCAGTGCAATCAGAAAGAGATTGTAGTTCAGTGACAGGAAGATTTCACTGGGGATTTTAGAGCTTATTTTTCTGTCTTATCAGCATTGAAGACATCAAACGTTGGGCAAATATTTAAGCTCTGAAAACACAACTGTTGCAATGGATCCAGGAATGTGTCTCCACAATGACCACAGCCGAAGCAATCATTGCACAACAGAACGAGAGACACTGCAGCAGTTTTTAGCTGAAATACAATGGATGGATCACTCATTCATGTTTTCTCATGCAAGATTCAGAAATGCCGAGCTTTTAAAGACAGAAACACATACACAGAGTGCTTATTATGAAGATTAACACTCAGGATATATTAGTTCTTCAGTCACACATTTTGGCTTTGTGAATTGTTGCCAATAAACAGTAGTGATGGCAGCATTTATGTGCCACACAGTCTAAAGTCATGGGTTAGAGTTGAACTTTGTCACATTTCACCTGCAGCTGTGTATTGAAACTGAAATGCTCGTTGGCAATCCAAAGAAAACAAAGTGTCTTTTCACAGATGCCTGAAAATGATAGTGGATACCATGAAGCAGACTTCCTGTATGATTTCCTTGTTCTTCTCCTCCTCATTTGACAAAAGCCTCTGAAAGAAAAGAACACACACAGGCCAATTGTGTCAATGTCAAAGTACACTTCAATACATATTTCCCAAAGGTGGTTCCGTCCTTTTTAGGTAGTTTTTTAGGTAGTTTTTTAGGTAGTTCTTTAGGTAGTTCTTTAGGTAGTTCTTTAGGTAGTTCTTTAYGTAGTTCTTMAAGTAGTTCTTGAGGTAGTTCTTGAGGTAGTTCTTGAGGTAGTTCTTTAAGTAGTTCTTTAAGTAGTTCTTTAAGTAGTTCTTGAGGTAATTCTTGAGGTAGTTCTTACCACATTGACGTTTGCTTGAATATTAATTTGAAAATGATTGACAGCTGGGACTTTTTATATTGTAGAATCATTGTTGCTGGAGCTAATGTTCCTGATTCATTGCATCATATATAGACATTTATCTGCTGTGTGGGTACAACTTTATCTTACCTTGAGAGCGTAGTCTTTGCCACTGCTCATGTCCTGGGCTTCATACACAAAGGCAAATCCACCTGAGAAAAAGCGAGAGAGCAGAGTGTAATTAACACTGTTTACACTTGCACAGATATTACGTGCGGCCCTTAAGCTCTTAAAATGAAAAATAATCATCAATCAATATTCAGTGTATTGAAGACCAGATGTGATGCATAGCGGGATGTGACACTTGCCACCAACCACAGGATACTGAATTAATTTACTGTAGAACAACAGAGATCGGCATCACCCTGATTCCAACCTAGAAGCTGCCAAGTACAATAACCACTCTCTAAATGAATACTGACTACACACTGATATAATACCAGCTATCACCTTCCTTACTGTGGGTCACTGCACAGCCACATGATAGGAATTGGAGATGAAGTGCCTTGCTCAAGAACACCACACGACAATCACAATATCTCTGCCACAAGCTCACACCACTCAACCTCAGGCCAGCTCTAAGCCCGGCTGAATCTTCACTTTTCACTGAGGGTGTGGTTGAAACCTGAACTGGTGTTGACGTGCCAAGTGTTGGTTTGATCAGTCTTCCACAGAAACACTAAGAGCTGAAACAGACACCACACTGCGATGGGATTTTATGGAGGAAATCATTTCAAATGAACTTTACTGATCCCACACAGGGAATTTGTCAGACGTCAAAGAAAAGAGAGTAACACAATTTCTGGACGCAAGTCACTGAGATTGGTGAACAAGGAGCTGTGTGTGCTGGTACGTGTGCAGACCGAACAAGAACATGGCAGGGTTACCATAGTGATGAGTAAATCAACTACCAGCCTAACTTTGAGAACCTCTCTGCAAACTTAAAGGAAGAAACTCAAGACCCAAACGCTTTATTTACCAAGGGAAGGGAGCAGTTACTTTTATTCAGCCGGTCCTGACTTTTAACTTGACCATGATTCAAACCAGTAACCTCACGCTCACATACATTGGGGATTTCTGTTTGGATGATGTAAAATTTTTTTTTAAAAATTTAACAAACCATATAACAAAGAGACCAATATTACAATATTGCAGAGAAAAACCAAAAGAGAGCAAACACAGAACCAGACTCAGGGTGGGCGGTCATCTGCATCGACGGGCCGTTAATAATTCAATAATTCAATAATTAACAATGAATATTCTACATGACAAACTGCGGTGGAAGGATTCAAGTCAGCTATCAACTCACTGCATCGTCTCTTGTCCATTACAGGAACATTTATGAGCAAAATCACTGACTTTGCTTTGAGCAGGCCTACCTGTCCCAGTGAGGATCACATGTCTCACTCTGTTCTGTGCAAAGGAATGAAACCTGAAAAGCTCAATTTCCTCTGCTCCACTTACCAGGCCATTCCAAAAGAAATGATGAAAAATGTGGGCAAGATGCCTCTTCATCATACACCACGTTGTTAAAGGTTGCTAGGGCGGAATTAATGTGTAATCAATGGGGAATAAAACATTAAGGACATTTATATCCAGGCCAGCTCTGAATAAAGAGACCCTTGTTTTCTACTGTTTCACCTGCTCAAAAACAACAACAAATAACTAGTCAGATTTATCATTGTACCTAAAAACCTATTTTCATCTAAAGGTACCATCCTCTAACCTGAAGAGGACTGAGTCTGTGAAACTTTGCTCAGTAATACTAGATGACAACCATCACTTATAAAGGGGGTCTTTGTATTTTCCCGTCACCAAAGATCTTGGTGACAGAACACGACAAAGAAACCTTTCAAAAACCAGGACAGGAGTTTTAACAAGGCAATCGTTCTGTTCTGCTCTGGTTTGAAGTCTTTTGTGTTTCCTTTAACCATAGCTGAGGATTTGCAATCACAGCAGTGTGATTATACTGTTGATTAGACGGGAATCAGTGCAGAAACAATCAGTTGATAGTCTATCTTCAGGAAGTTATGCCAATCATTTAATTTAGGGATGTAGAACGGCCCAGGCCATATTCAGCCTGCAAAACAGAGTGAATCAAACACACACACAAACAAGCTTTTGTCAGGAATGACATGTGACAGGTGACTGTTGCGTGTCATTGTAGTATCAGGGCGCTTCTCAGGAAAAAGAAAAGTAGAAGCTGAATGTTTCGCTCTGTGCCCAAAAAACAGCTTTCACAAGTCTGCAATCGGACAGAGACAATGTTCTGTGGTGAGCGAGCCGATAGTTTAGAAAACTTGCTCAGTGGGAGAGTTTGTGAAGGAGACTCTTGTTACCGCTGCAAAGCTGCTAGAACAAAAGTGAGTGAAATTCATGCATTCTACTTCTCTGTAAAAACAAAAGGTCTGCTGTGAAGGGGGAGCAAAACTCCTCCAGATATTTGAAAAGAGGTTTCAGGACAAGAAAGATAAACAAAAGGAAATGAACATGTTTGTTCAGCCATGTAATCCAGTGGATAAACCTGACAACCAACAACATGAAATCATTGAAAACAGAGCCAGAGACACGGCTCAGAGCAACAACCTCCTTCGGGTCGATTTCCTCGATAGTAATGTGGACTGAGATGCTAGTTTTTCAAAGGGACATTACTTGTTGCCAAAAAAAGAAGCTTATCCTGCCAACGTCTTCAATACAAAACAGTTTCATGTCCACAAAGTAAATTACCTGAAAACCCATCAGTTAGTTGTGAAGGCAAATTCAAAGTGAGTGTAACAACGGTCAGCTTTGTCTTAGAGCTGTTAACAATCACAAATAAATAAGAGTTAGCTGCATTTATATTTTTTAGGATGTGTTGAACTCTGACTTACTGGCCTGACCATGTTATTAACACTGTAAGAGTACTTCGTTTGAACAAAGTGGGCTCACAGGTAATGCCAGACCACAATTTTGTGGTTGAAAATACTAGTGGTTAAATCATGTGTTGGTGGTTACACTTGATTTAATTAGTATTTTTCAATCAACAACAACCTAAATAAACATTTACATTAAACATGTACTGTCTGTTCCACCACTACTATGGCTGAGTGACTAACCACATGGTGTAGTATAGCTGCAAGACCGTCTTGCCAACTTGTAACTTTGCATTGAGGGCAAGAATCGGTGTTTGCTGCCTGCGAGCAGAAACCTGACCTGTGGGTTTACACATCTCCTGCAACCAGAGTCGATGCACAAAGACAAATACAGGCTTCTATTTCAGATTCAGACTCAAACACATCATTTCAAACCAATGCTGCTGAAAATAGTGGCTACGCTACAGAGATAAATCTATACACATGCACTAGAGCTCAACCGATTTATCAGTGGGCAGATAAAACCAGCTGCTATTGGTCAGTTATCTGCATTTATGTTTGCCAATATGATATTTTATTCTACAGAATAAAAAATGCATTGTTGACGTACAATCCAAATCCAGTTTAGAGTCTTCCTGCAGAGACCACATGCTAGTTCAGCTCCCCTCCTCTTTTCACACTTGACTCTATCCTATTGATTTAAACAATATGGCCCAAAACTCAATTTCAAAAAGGAACAATCCAGAAAAGATGTGCATGTCATATTTTTGTATTTGTGTATTCCTCCTATGATAAAAATGGTTTTACTCCTGAACATATAGTATTGGCATCAGCCAATCTTTGTAGCTGTAGTTATGCATTACTATTATTATTGTATAATACATGATGTATAAACCCTGTTTCAAGTGAGGTGGCATTAAAGTTCAGGTCACATAGGAAAAAAGACGACTGTCCCCATGCTGTCCATCCCAAGACCAAAACAATTAAGGACATGTTGTCGATCATGAGTTTATTTTCAGGAAATTCCCAGTTTGGGATCATCAAAATAAATCTCTCTAGCTGTCTCAAAAAGGAGGTTATCAGGAGGAGAAGGAGGAGGAGGAGGAGGAGGAGAAGGAGGAGGAGAACTGGCCCAAGAAATCCAACAGATCTGCAGATGCTTTGCCTGCTTGTGTTATTTACTTTCTGTGTTTTGGTAACAGCAGCAGTTGACTGTCATGGCTGGTGAGAGTTTTCAAACAACACTACTTCCTGTTTGTCCCTGTCAGGATGATCTCTCCCTGAGAAACAACAAAGTCTTGCTTCCAGGGAAGATGCTGCTGATTGAAGAGAGCTCCTAACAACAGGTTGGGTGTTGGTATTCCAGTAAAGTGAAACCTAACGTACATTCACGACTTTACTCAAAGCTCCACAGCGTTAGCAAGCAGCGAGAAAGTTAAAGTTGTCTGTACTGCACAATCTGAAAACACGAAACCAAACCATCAGTCGATCACTAACCAATGAATCCACCTTGTTTACTTGGTGACTCACAGCTCTGCACTTGCTAACGCTGTTTTTTCTTCTTCTCCCCCTGACAACCAATGGAGGTTAGCCTGTTAGCCACTCCGGCTAGCCTAGCATGGCTAGCCGCCGCAGGACGTTATCCACATTTCGATCGGAGGTTCACCGCCTCACCTTCTGCGATCACCCTCCTGATCCTCAGTTTCAAGTCACCGAGCTCCACCACTTGTCCGACGAAGTCATTCTGGTCCCGGCTGGCGCCTCCGGACGAGCCGGGCCCGGCGAGGAAATCCAGTGCCGACTGGAACAGGGACATCTTCTCCAGCAGCGCAGCGCTTCAGCCGCACAGGAGCCGGGCTTCTGCACAGGGAACAGGGAGGAGGGGGGGGGGTGATCCCAGGGAGCTCCGCAGAAAAACTGTTCGGTGGTTTAACTCTGTTAAAAAGAGCTGGAATCAGCTGATATTATTCCTCCACTGGAAACAAACATCCTCTTCCTGCACCGAGGCCGCCACCATCTGCCCGAAGCTGCTGACTTCCGGGAGGAGCGATGACGCAGAGACAAGAATCAGTCATGTGACGAGGAAACAAAATGTTCCCGAAAATATAAGAAAGTGGTGGAACACACACTTATCTCCAAAACTTTATTCACTAATCATGTGTAATAATAATGTCATCTAATACTTATACCCTCGTTTATACAGTGATTATTAATGAGACATTATTAAGTGGATTCAATAAGCATGTTATGATAAATGTAATTATAAATAATATCTTTTAAAAACACTTTATAAACAATATGAATATACATAGATAATTATAAAGCATTTGTGTATTTATGACTAGCATGATAATATATTCAAACTAGTATGTACATACATATACATACATACAATATAGATATAATGTATAATATAAATATAGTGTGTGCCGTCAGTTGTTAGGCTGTTCCTAACTTGATGGCCCAGTGAGCCTCTGATGAGATCTTGCATCTTGTTGTCAAAACCAAAATAAACCAAGATATTGTGTTAAAGTAAAGAGACATCCTTTATGTTAGGAGCCCAGTTGAAAACAGCAATTTCAACAGACAAAAAGTAACTGTGACCGAAAATGATAATTCTGTAAAGACGATTATTATTATTATCATCATCATCATTATTATTATCATTATTATTATTGTTGTTGTTGTTTTTATTATTATTTTATCACTGTACATTATCATTAGTATGTAGAAGGTACATTTTTATTATTATTAACATTGACATCGTTATTGACATGATCCTCATCTCATCATTATGTTATTACCACCATTCTTTGCACAGTAGTGTGGTATTTTAAGTGTACTTCCACTGCACCTTGTGTATTTGCATGCCTGTGTTGTGTATTTAGAATATCATTGGCTGTCATTGTATTTCTTGTGTTTTCAATAAAGTAATCTATGGACACCTTCAATTCACGACACGCCCCCCAGGCCCCGCCAACTGATTCTGTTCAGCCAATCAGATCGAGTCCTGCTCTGGACTAATCGCGCCTCTCCACCTTTAACCACGGAAGAGTAAAAGCTCATGATGGCGCCTCCCTGTGGAGAGGAGTGCGCACCACAGCATCTGGACCAGCAGCAGTATTTCTATTTTAACTCAGTGAGGATTGAACAGCCATTGTTGGAGAAGGAGGCACGCGTATTTTAGATAAAGCAAAATTTTAATGTGATGCATTCAACTTCCCTGGATTTAGACAATACATTTTTTTTAGGAAATGAGGAACTAGATAAGGAAGTAGCTTTTGGAGGGAAACTGCAAAGGCCTCACCTCAAGGCCTCACCTGAGATCTCAAAAAGGAGTTTAAATCTTTTAACTGAGGAGTCACAAACTGGCTCAGCAGACTTTTCAACTTCGTTCACTGACTTCACTCAGATGTGCAACTTTAAGGTGAGTTTTAAAGGTCCAGTGTGTACGATTTAGGTGAAAGGGAACTATTGGCAGAAATGTAATGTAGAATAATCCTCATGATGTTTTCAGTAGTTCGTTTCTTCTAAATTGTATGAATTGTAGTTTTCTTTACCTCAGAAAAGGCCCTTTATATTCAAATACTTTATATTTACATTGCGGGGACCCTCTCTACGGAGGCCGCCATGTTTTTTTACATTAGTCCAGACTGGACAAACTAAACACCTTTTGAGATTTTTAGATTAAGATAAAGGATTAAGATTCCTTTTTATTGTCCCACACAATCATGCACACACAGCACTACATGCAACATGGGGAAATTCGACCTCTGCATTTAACCCATCCGTGTGAACACAGCTGACACACATGGAACACAATACACACAGTGACCACACGGAGCAGTGAGCAGCCATGAAGGAGCCCCGGGAGCAATTGGGGGGTTCGGTGCCTTGCTCAAGGAGAGGGTGAGGTGAGGGGTGTTCAGCTGCAACATGCAACTTCAACACTAGTTATCACAAGATTCTACACACGTACCTTTAAGTTCTTTATTCAATTAAATTTTTGAATGGAATTTGATTTGCCAGACCGATGATCAGTGCAGGGCCGCAATGGGGCCGGTCGCCTTTAAGCGCTGTCCCTCACAGGATCCAGCCGGCGGCTGTCACAGGAAGAGACTTCAATGAAGAAGCTGTCAGATGCAGCTACTGCTTGTTTCAAAATGTGAGTTTTGGCCGGACTGCAGGACAAATGAGCTCATGTGGAGGCAAAGCCAAAATAAACAGATAAAACAGTCACTTGCTGTGGAGTGAAGCCAGAGTTTATTCCAGTTCAAGTCAGTGTCCTATCAGCAACAATCAGGTTTATCCCAGAGGAGGCCGGAGCATTTAACAGTGGCTTCAGGAACTATTCTGAAGTGACTATATTGTGTTCTAAAATTGTAATCAACAAACAGTCAATAACCCATAATGACAAAATGAAAACACGTTTTAAATATTTTCAAATCTAGCGTTTAATTCTTTAAATGTAGACCCTTCGTTGTGCTGGTCCTAACTGCATCCTGTTTGCTTTAACCTTCCTTTCATATGTGTCCAGGTCCCAAAATTCATACTCTATGTTAGGTTAAAAAAAAGCCATGAAATCAAATAAACTCTTTGCCGACCATCATATTATATAGCTATAGTGCAAGGGTGTAAAATATTATTTCAAGCTCTTCACAGTATCATGCTTCTGTGGTGGCAGTAACAGAGATACTGGTCAGAATTGAGGGGAAGATGAATGCAGCCAAATACAGGGAGGGAGCAGGACCTGGGACCGGGGGCGATGCTTCACCTTTCAGCGCTGCCACACTGACAGTTAACAGCCAAGACAAGCTGCTGTGATCTGTCTCGGAGTGTCAATCTTAAACCACTTTGACATCTGGAGCTGGCCCGACGGTCACAGACGCTTCCAATCCAATCTGGGGCAGCTAGAGAGGATCTGCCAGGAGAAATGGGTTAGCGCGTCTAAATCTAGGTGTACAAAGCTGACAGAGACTTTTAAAGCTTGTAGAGAGACGACTCTGATATTCCACTAAAGTAACCATTTAGTAAATCAGTTCATTTGTGTTATTTATATATTATCTAGGCATAATCATTTACACCATTACTGTCTCTAAAGTGTGTTGAGACATTTTATAAGCACATCTGTACTTTTGTATTTCATGTACATATGAAGTTTTTTTTAGTACTATACTCTTGTGTTGTTTCATCCTTTGCTCCCGACTGCAAGTCACGTTTCCAACCTGGGATAATAAATGACTAAACAGGGGGAGAGGATCTGATGTCATATTAATTAAGATTTACAGATATAATACAGTGTTATCTAAAGGTCAGGTGTAGTCATTATGACAAATTTACAACAGGAACAAATAATTAAATCTTGTGACATCTAGACCAACATCAATCCATGGTGGATTTGTCTGTCTTTTAAACAGGAGATCCAAGGACTTGGAAAATAATTGAAAGTAAACCAATTAACCCAAAGTTTAAAGAAGACATCTTTAAGTTTTTTAGTCAGATAAAGGTTTTCATAAGTCAAGCATATATATATATATATATATATATATATATATATATATCAAAATGTTTGTTGAATTCATTTATATTTTTCTTGTTTTCATCTTTGTTACCCTGCTTTGCTTTGTGTATAAGATGAACACTAAGGTCTGTTTTTGTCTTTTTGTCTTACCACGACATTTCCACAGTACAGAATGATATTAATTCCGCAAACACACTCACATGATATATTTTTCAGGGGAAAAATGACTTCAGCTTTCAGAGTAGGTGACTTCAGGTTTGAGTCACAAGGCAAATCTGGACTGTGGTAGTCAGCGGACATTATCAGACAAGTTTCAACATTTCTGTCTGGCCTGTCCCCTCTGTCTTCACCAGCTCTGCCAGAACACACAGCAGTGTAACATGTCAATGTACAGTCACAGAGATTCCCACTCACTGCGTTGGGCAGATAATAACGTGGCCTCAGGTGACTCATTCATGATAGCTTTAATCTCCCAGTTGGTTTCTGTGTATCTAAGATTTTAAAACCCCACACGTGACTTTTATGTTTAATGTAGATGGATTATATTTTCCATTTGGACCTGGTGATGAATGAGGAGGAGTTTAAAGTGTCAAACAGTGAATGACAAACATTCTAGTGCAGACAGTGTGTAGTGATGATGGAGTGACTGTTCAGACAGGACAGAAGTTTGCAGAAGTAGAAGAAAAAGTTTACGTCACAGACTCAAAGTTGAGATGACACCACTTCCAAAGTGAGGAGGGTCTTTCACGCCTCTCTCTGATTGGGCACACCTCTAAAACACTCCTTCCTCCTCGCTCTCTGATTGGCCAATACGACCACAGCCGACTATTTGTTATTGGTCCAACGAGACGCCAGTCCACTGGGGACGGTCTGTCCCACGCATAGACCGATCAGTCGTCTGATGTGGAACCAGTGAGCTGAGGACCAATCAGAGGTCTCCGTTTGACAGGCTCGAGAGGCCTGGCTGCTGCGCGTTCACGCGTGGGGGAGGTTCAAGACCTCTACAGGGAGAAACTTAAAAGTCTAAAGACCCAGGACACAAATTTAAGTATTTAACGAAAAAGTACAATATTTGCATGACCAGTATGTTATCAATTTAAAAACATCATTTTACAGGCTATGTTAGTCTAATGCAGAACTTTGTGTAGGTTCAGTTATTTATCTTTAAATCTGTATTTATATTTGGCTTCAAATTTCCGTCTCGGCTACTTCTTTCTTCTTCTTTCTTTCATTCACCTTATACTTCTAATATATGTAATATTACAGTACAATATACTTGTATTTAACTTATTTTAGACTTATTCAGAACTTGTATTATTCGTATGCTCTTGTGTTTGACTGTTTTGTGAGCTACTGGACAACTAAACTTAAATATTTTATATGTATTAATGAGATTCTTTCTATGTTGGCACAATAATTGTAATTTGTCTCTAATTTTGGGTTTTGTGTATGTGCACATTCCATAAGGGGAAACTGGTTTGTTCAGCATGTGTGGCAAACAACAGGACAGGTTTAACAGGTCAGAAAATATGAGACACACACTGCCACATCAGAGTTACACTAATGTAACGTACACTGACATGCAAACTAATATGTTTTAGCAAGAGGACACTGTGCTCTGGAGCCATGTGTGTAATTAAAATAGGCATTTTATATTAAATAAAACGTTTCTATGGTGTTCACATACACCATAGAACTATGTGTATTTAGTTACATGTATATATTTGCCCCTGAATGTAGGGAAGAAGCATAAGATGTAAATATATTCATGTTTAACTCTGTAAAACGCTTTTTAGCTGTGTTTAAACAATTTTTTTATTATTATTTTGAACTCAATTTAAGCAGAAATGTAATGAGGTGTATTTGTGAATGTTGTGAGTTGGGCTCCACCACTGCAGTCAAGAATATTGCTTGCCTCAAAGGGTATTTTCTTTCTTTTTGTTGTTGTGGATTCTTCTGACTGTCTAGAAAGAGTTAAGACACAGAGCAAAGAGTTTCCATTTCTGTGGTAACAATAACGTTGTACAGCACTTATCTAAACAAGGTTACAAAGTGCTTCGCAAAAAATGAATGAACTAAAATAAAAGATATTTAATTGAGTTCAAGGTCAAGACCTTAACATTCATAGAGAAACCCAACAGGTCCCACAACGAGCAAGCACAGAATTACAGAATGTACGATCATTCTTGTCCACATTTAATCTTTGTTTAATAGATGGCTTTTCTTTTCTTTTCTTCAGGATCATCTTTTAACATATCTTTCTTTCTGTGTAGCGATGGGAGGAGTTGATTTATTGTGATAGAGTTGAGTTCACCAGTGTTCGAACAGGCATTAACACAATATTCACCACACTAAACCATCTCTACCAGTGCTTGTGTGTGTCACGGTCATTTCACTCGTTTTAGTGTCGGAACAGTTTCTAATGAAATGCATCATTAAATCCCTCAAACTGACCAGATGAGAAATCTGTAACTTTCCGTTCTTGAACGCAGCTCGCTACGTCATGACGCCGGGGCGTGGCCTGTGGCTTTTCAGCGTTAGCCCCACGCTTGTCTTTGACACTTTGTATCCGCCTCAGCCGCTGTGATTCCCCGCAGACACGAAGCAGCCGAGCCGCTGAGCTTTATCCCGACGCCAGCCCTCTCACCTCCCCGCCGGTAGCGCCCCCCCCTCACCAGATATCAAGCCGCCCAGCAGCCGCTCCACCCTGCCAAGATGTCCAAAGACGCGGAGGGGAAGAGCGAGAGAATCATGGAGGTGGAGGGCAAGGTGCTGTGGTACCCGGACTCCAAGAGGAACACGCAGATGGACACGTTCAGGACACAGGTCAACGGGAACTACGGGCTTAATCTGGGTGAGTAGGAAGGAGGGAGGGAGGGGAGAGGAGAGGGTTAATCCTCCGAGAACCATGACAATAGCCTCTGCATCTGTCTGCACATGTTGTGTAATTATCCCTCATTCAGATGAATTACCTCAGAATGCCCTCAGTCTGCAGCTGATGCTCTGCTCACGCTGAGAACAGGCTCACAGGGGGGAAGTAGCTGTGCATGAAAACTGCGGCTCCTGTTGGTGTTTTTCTGTCGCCACTCAGCTGCCAGGCGATGAGGATTGATGGTTCCTGTCTGTGTGATAACGTGTCAATTCAAGGAGGAATGCTGCAGAACGTGGTCTGCAGGGCACTGGATGAATAGAGAGAAAGAGAAAGAGGAAGAGATATTATTATATGAATCGCGACAGTGGCGGATCTAGGGTTATTCTAAATTGGCAGATGATAGGGGCCACCTTTTATTTAAGAGGGGCCAATTATATGTCCAACATCCACGCACGATTCCTGATTGTCTGAAGTGCACATTCAAGTCATTCCTTGTTCAAGTTAAGATCTTTTTTTCAGTTCCACAGCACAAAGAGAACAGAAAAAACAGGCAACATGCAACAGAAACATGAAATTATAAATACAATGGAGTTGATATCTGCAGTGTAAACTGAATGTATTCACTGTGAGCAGAGCATGTAAAGTGTAATGTTTTGTGTATGAGATACTGGATTACAGACAGAAATTAATAATTGCACAGTGAAATTGAAGCTGAGAAAACTCACTGCCACACATCATTGAATATATTTACTTGTTGAAGCGCTTTGTGAACTTCAAAAAGTATAGATTAGAAACTCAACTTGTCATATTATTGTTAGAATGGTAAGTAAGTAAGTGACCAGTTGTTGTTTTCTTAAGACTATTTACTGGACAGGGGCACTTCAGGGGCCAATCAGATTTCAGCTGGGGCCAGTGCCCCCTGACCTCGCCCCTTGATCTGCCCCTGATGAGGCAGAAGAGTACAGACAGACAGAACTGACAGATGTGTGAGAGTATCTGGTCGAACAACAAGGCCAAAAATTATTAATTTTAATTAATTTTTTGGATCTTTGCTGAAAAACAAATCTGTTATTAATCCGTAATAATTATTCGGTCGTCCAGTTAACTACAGTGACCTGTACCAGTGGTCGGTGGAGAGCTACCCAGAGTTCTGGGGGGAGGTGTGGCGCTTCTGTGGAGTCGTCAGCTCCAAACCGTACGAGGAGGTGAGTCCAACCAATCTCTGCCGCTACATCGTAATAGTAGAAGTAGAAAGGTTTGAAAGGTTCCCAAAATTGTGTGGTGGCTGGCAGCGGTTTAGGTCAAAAACCTGCCTCCTCCTCGTGTTAGTGGATGGGACATGAACGGGATTGGTCATGCGCAGTAGCTTCGGCTACTGCATCAAGGCTACTTTTACCAGTCAGTTGGATTAATGATTTTACATGATGTCATTTTCTCTGTAGCCTCTTCATGTAGCTCAGAACCAGGATGTAGCCACTGAGTGTGTGAGATAAACAAAAGATGCCTGATGTTATGACATTGAGCCTTGTTCTCAACACACCCCTTCAGTACACATAGATAACACGTTCCACGTCACACACTGGCCCAAGGTTCTTTTATTGTACACTCTCATCTTACACATTGAATCCTTCGGTAGGTTAGCAGCAGCAGCAGTAGATTCCAGATTACCATAATGCACAATGCGGGCGAGACTATTAAATCCCAGTGTTGCTGTGGATTTTCTAAAAAAATTTGTTTCTTGCTAATGTTTTGCTGCAAGTACAGTGACATCTGTGCGTTACAAGTAAAGCTTAAAGGAATAAACTTTTGATATGTATGAAAAATAACAAGAATTAGAGGAAAAGGTTGCTGGCTGCATAACCAAAGCCTAAAACATCACAGCCAGATCAGTGTCATTGGTTTGACTCTCCTCTGTGTGTCCTTGCTGTTTGGTTTTGTTGGTGTTTACCAGGTGGTGGACGCATCCAAACGGATCTCAGATGTTCCAGAGTGGTTCAAAGGGGCTCGACTCAACTACGCTGAGAACCTGCTCAAACATGCAGACCAGGACAAAGTGGCTCTCTACGCTGCAAGTGAGTATGTGGAGGATATGGCACCGATATAAGTAATATTCAGTGATAAATTTAAAAGTGGTGCTTTTCTTTCCTGAATGTTGGTAGTGTTGTTTTTATGCATGTTAACACATGTGCCTCGATAGTTAATATAACACAGGGTTGTCCTCTCTGAACACACCTTCAAACACTACAATCATGCAGAACCAGTTCTTTTACTTTTTTTTCTTTTATTTTCTTACATCTGGATTATTGGACTATTGTTAGTTTTCCAACAGTCAATGCTGATATTTAGAGAGCAGGATATTATATTGTTGTTATACTTTGCATCTGATTTGAAAAAGGTCCATTAGGTCAGTGGCTCGAACCCCTGGTACCTGCAGCGCCCTTGAGCAAGGCACTGAACCTTAAATTGGCCCTGATAGCTGTTCTGACAGTGTATGAATGCTGGGTGATAGAAAAGTTTCTGTGTATTGAAGCGTTGGATGAATGTTTGTGTGAAACGGTGAATTTGAGTGTTCGACATCACTGGGAAAAGTATTTTGACGATACAGTCCACTTACCATTTGTAAAAGGAAAATTGCTGAGTACTTAACACGATCATGTTATTTATTTAAAGACAGAAAAGTATTTCCATGAAAATAAGATGCATTGTCTCTGGAAGTCATGCAGTCTGCACCTTACTTGTTTTGTAAGCGTGAGTGTTAACACGTTTGGTTTCTGTGATTGTGTTTCACACAGGTTGGGTTTACTTGCTCAGAATTTACATTTACAAATGAAGCAGAATCAAAGACAGATATGAGAGAACAGTGTTGAGGATGTTTGAGAACAGAATCGCGAACGTCAGGCTTCATACGTCACTTTGGCACAACTGCTGCTTCCTGCTCTAACTCTGGCTGTCACATACTAATGGACAGGGAGGAACCTTCATCACTGCAAGAAGTTAGTGTAAGGGAGAGTGAGCTCTTGCACACAGTCTACCTCAGGACCTGGAATGTAATTATGGGATGGCCCATTTGTCACAATACTGTGGAGCCTCTTTGAATCTCATTTAACCATTGCTTACAGAGATAATGGGAGCGTTGCTGCCTGTGGCTTATGTCCCTCCGCACAGTCTGTCTCCGTTTATGTCTCCCTGGTTTTCCTTGTCTTAGCTGTGGTTTTAAAATTCATTTGCAATGTCAAAAACACAACTTACAAAGTGCTACTCAAAATCTAAAATGTCCAAACCGATCAAACCATATCTAGATATCTACGGTAACCGGAATCATTTCATGAGATGTATGTATTTATCTCTGCCTCTGTGTCTCCCTCTCTCTTTGCGTCCATCTTTCAGGGGAGGCAAATGACGAGATTGTGAAGGTGACGTTTGGAGAGCTCAGGCGTGACGTGGCAGTGTTTGCTGCAGCCATGAGGAAGATGGGTGTCCAGATTGGAGACAGGGTTGTAGGTGAGTCTCAGATTTATGTCTCTCTGTCTCACTGGGGGTAAACCAGAGAATATGGAAAAATGGTGGTGGCATTTTATGTATTGATATATTTCATATATATCTTTGTTTCACCACACACACTTGGAGGCCCAGCATTTCCTGTGTGCTGGTAAAACTATAATCATACCTGCTCCTCTTGTGACCTCTTCATCATCCAGACCTTTTATTTGGAGCCTCTTGCAGAATAAGTTAGAACTAGTTTTTGGGTCAGTGTGCACTTAGGAGGAGGACTGTATGAATGTCAGCATTTACCTTTTCAACGTTAATATTTATCTTTCTGCAGGTCAACACAGTACTGTAGTCGTAAACACGTATCCAGCAACTGCTTGAAGACATGTCATGTACATTTCTACACGCCAGTTTGTGAACTGTACATTTACAGATAATTCAAATGTCAAACTTGTCTCTGTCTTGTTGCTGCTGGATATTGAGCTGTTATCAGGAGTTCAGTTACTCTGAGATTGTCAAACAAAAGTGTCTCAGACTTGACTGAGTAATTTGTTGAACAGACTCTTTGAGGAAAGAAAAGAAAATAGGGTTAGTTTTAATTGTCTGATCTCAAAAGAAACACCCTTACCAAAGATTACTGACTAAACAGAGGTAAAATCACTTTATCTCACAATGTCAAACAAAGTGAAAACATTTCTGCATCTGTCCCCTGAGCCTGAGCACCAAAATTGTATTTGTTTTTCCCTGGGTCGTGCCACACCCGTTCACAAAACGTTGTGAAATTGAGTTTTTGCATAACCCACACAATAAATAACCTCCATGGTGCAGATAATAAACTTCTTTTTTTTTTAGTACTGTAGAGAATTCCTGCGTGGATCCTTAAAAAAATGATTTCACACTCGATTTTTCATATAAAATAGTTTGTTGCTTGTGAGGACAGGTCCGAGACATATAAGTCTAAACTGTCCCCTTCTCTGTTTCATTCTCTGTCTCTGCCACATCTCCAGCTGTGGTGCAGAGAAGCATATTGAGCTGTTTGTGCTGTGTCAGTATCAGAGGCTTCGGTTGCACCGAGGTTGACAAACTCACAACAAACATCTCAGATATCGGAGACTTTCACTCTGAGGAATTCTTTCTGTTTCCTCTCACGCTGGATTCAATTTTGAAGCAGCAGTGTATGGCCGCCACATTGAGCCACTCTGTCCAGGAATGACCAGGATAAGGGTGAAAGCCCAGAAGAAAGATGTATGTCACTGCAGGAAAATCCATTAGCTAAATGACTTAAGCTCTGTAGAAATCTCATTAGAAAGACGGGACGCGTGGAGGGAGGGACGGACAGAAAAGGGAGACGACTGAGAGAGAGAGAGGATAGGTAATCAATAGTTTCCTTTAAATAAAATGTATATCTAATCACAAATCTACGTTATTGTGTGTCCTCAATTGAGTGTGAGAGAGACAGTGACGTCCTCGTCCTTGGGTCGTAGCTTAATTGTCGTGTCAGTGTCTGTAATCCAGGAGATATATCGGCACTTAGCTGATGAAGCCGGCCAAGCTTTATAGTAGGACATGAGCCAACACACACACACACACACACACACA